GTCTACCTGGGCATGGACTCGAGGGCCATGCGCTTGTTTGCCATATTTTGCTCTCTGGGTTGCCCTGGGTAGGTAGAATTGTTTGTTGGGGCTGTCATAAACTAAGAAACCATAAATGGCTCTTAAATTGAGATGAATAATTACTGATTTATTTTCCTAAGATATGCTTCCATATATATTTAATGCTACATACCTCTCCAGAAAAACTATTAATTTACCAATGCCACAGCAAAACATTGGTATTACAATAGTCTTTTCGATTTTGAGCTTACTTTACCCTGTTTTATAGATTAATAACTATTGAACGATGGATCTATTACAACTCTATTAGAGACTTACCATATATTTTTATAATTCAAAACTACAAAATGAGACTGTTTCTTTAAACTACATTAAATATCAAACACAAAGATATTTTTTATAGCTACCCTATACAATTCAGATTTCCAAAACTCAGATTTTAAGAGAAGGAGACACCTTCATTTTTATGTTTCTATATAATAATTTGGTGATTGTTTTTTTCATGGAAGAACAACTACCGTATCTTCTAATTCTGTTTTTACCATCTAGGGAACAAACATAGAAAAACTTAAATAATTGACAGGAACACAACCAGTTCAAACTTACCTAAAGTAAAAATTGCTAGAAAGGTCCACATTTTGGAATATTCGCAGATACCTTCAAAAAACAAAACAAAACCGTATTACATCCATACAACACTCTTTATTTTTTTCATAGTTTCACATACACAGATATTACACATTTACATTGACCAGTACACTCATCAGCACTGAAGGCTAATCCATCCCCGGAGCAGTGATTCCATAGAAGTCATTTGTCAATCTGCTGTGCATCCTTTCAGACTCGCTCACATGCTAGGCTGGGCCATCTCCTTGTCACTGATGGTGCCAGTGAGAGGGACAGCCACCCCCACACACACACAGAAACTGAACTCTGGGCAAGAGAGAACTAAGTACCCATTCTGCAGATTAGTTCTCTCTGTTCTCCGTATTAGATGTAATGAGATATGATGTGGCCAGATTGTATATCTAAGCGTCCTTCTAGAGCACATACTTGGAAACAAAACCAACCCAAACTGGTTGCTGTCAAATCTATTCTGACTCAGGAGACTACGTGTTACAGGGTAGAACTGCTTGCTGGGGTTTTTCTTGGTTGGGCATTACAGAAGCAGATCACCAGGCCTTTCTTCCTTGGCTTACTGGTAAATACAGTCAACCTTTAGGTTAGTAACCAAGCACAAGTCATTTGCACCAGCCAGGGACTCAGTGAGTTTTAATAGCCAGGGGGCTTCAAACAGTTCCTAGAAAAATGTAGTTAAGAGTGTGGAATTTTTCTAGGAACTTTTGAAGCCCACTTGGGTGCTTTTGAAATTTGCTAGAAAATGCCAACTTGTTCTCTAAGCGGCTGAAATAATATCACTCCAACTCAGAGCATATAAATATGTCCATTCCCACATTTCTGTTAACACTTAAAATATTGGCAGGTATTTCAATGAATTCTCATCTGACTAATGGAAGTAAAACAATATATATTTTCCAATTTTTTTCAGGTATTTCCCTAATTACAAGATCTCTTCTGTGAGCTGCCTGTTCAGGCCTTTTGACCAGTTTTCAATTAGGTTGCTCATCTGTTTCTCATTACCACTTTTATATTGCTCCTGTCTACTAAAATGTGTCTAGATTGTCTAGACATTTTCAATATTGGCATCATCACCCATTTCATTGTTTCCCTTATGATTTGCACTTTTGATTATTTT